CCGTGCAGTAATCAAGGAACAGAGAGTGGACCTCGTTAGAAGATGTTAACACATGGAGGTCGACCTCTGCTCCCTGGTTCAGGTACAGTCGGCAGTGGGGCCAGGAGAAGACCCTGCCCCTCCCCCCGCCTGTGCAGGCTCAGGTCACATCTGCCTCCAAACACAGTCCTTGAAGAGAACGCAGTCTGCCCTGTGGCATTTTCATGCCTCTGCACTGTGATTAACAGGCCAGCAGGGACAGCACAGTGACATGTCTTGACAGGCGATCTCATTGATTTCATGAATCTCTTTCTGTAGGGCTCTTCAGAGGAACTTAAATTGTAGTAAGTTAGACACAGTTTCATCTTTCCTAATGTCTTCCTTATTGCCAGTGTCACACTAGTGAATTTCAAGGAGCCAGCAGTTGGCATCCCCGTCTTGCTCAGCTGACTGGTCGGGCCCCAGGCTGAGGATCAGTCAGTTCCATTCTAGCTGCAACCAAGACCAGCTCAGGTTGATCCTTTGGCCTTTTTTCATGGTGCTTCCTCCTTTGTTTTTAAAGGAAGAGATACATTTCATCTACAAGCCTAAAATGTGAATTAGAAGCACTCATGCAACCAATTTTATTAAGTTCCTACGCTGGACATGCTGGGCTGATATGTTCCTATTGAAATATCCAGGAAGGGGTGACACTGCCAAAGTTGATTTTTTTTCCTTTTTTAAAAAAAATCTAACATGAAAGGGACTTTTCCATATATTCCCAAAAATAATATGTTTTAAGGGAAGAGCTACAGAATAGTTAGAGATATTATATAGATGTGAAGAAACCATCTAAAGTCTTTGTTGTAACAATAGCAATATTGCATTTTGATATTTCACAAAGGCCTATGCCCTAAATGCTGTGGAGGGTCGAAAGAAATAAATGATAAGGTCCTTGCTCTCAGGAGCTTCAAGTGGAATAGAAGGAACACAACAAACACACTTTGCGTATTTAGAAAGATGAGATGTAATTAGAAAGGAGAGAAATACAAAGTACACCAAAGGTAAACCAGGATGTCTGTGATGTGAGCAGATGGGACACTAACAGCGCTTGCTGGAAATGAGCTTGGAGAAAGGTTTTGAAAGATTTGAGTCACAGCCGTTGGCATAAAAGAGGGGAACAAGTCTATACAGATGAGAGAATGGCCTAGACCAAGCTTCCTTTCTTATACTCTGTAAGGCTTGGGTTCCCCAATAGAAGAAGGCCATAAATGGGAAAGAATGCTCAGATATGAAGTGAGAAAGAGTCTAGCTAAGGTATATTTATGAAGAGCTGTATTTACTGAACATGGATTAAAACATATATGCTCTATATTTTTGTGCTTGTAGTGAGTCTGTCAAGCATTTGGACGAATTTCCTCTCAATGTTTTATAGCATTAGTTTTTATTCTTCCGTAATCACACTTTGTGAAACTACATGCTTGAGTCTAATGTGCCCAATAATATCTTTAGACTTTCCAAACTTAGAAACCCTTCCCAGGATTGTCCTATCATGTCATTCAATTGATGGCTTTGTTTTTGAATAATCACTGTTGTCACTGTGAGACTAGTAAAGAAAGGGTTTTTGTATAATCACGACTGAGGAAAATGACCTCTCTTTATCTTTCATATCTGAAATACCAGGGCACTGTAACTTCTAGAACATAGTGTCAAGTAGGGGACACAGTAGTGTCAGTGGTGATTTCTGGGCATAGTGACCATTACAGCTACTCTCCTGGCTTATTTCCAGGGAAAAATAGACACTGAAGGACAGGTTATATATTTGACCAAAATGAATAAGAAAAATACGTTAGCAGGCTCTTCACAAGGGTGGAAAGCCACCCTTTACGCTATAATTTATTACCACTCTTCTCCAGTTCTAATAAAGGAAACTAGGTTCTTGACCCCAAGCCATGTAAGAGGTTTCATGAAGGACGTGCCCCTCTCCTCCCTCAAGTGAACAACAGACTGTCCTCACGCACCACCGTGACTAGAGAAAGGAGTCACACCAGGGCTTGGGATGAATCAGCACAACTCAGAAAACATGTCTGATGAGCCTATAAATGAGGGTCCCTGCAATTTATGTAAATCTCCCCTTCACATTTCATTGCATGCAATATCAGCTTATTATCGATGATGTTTCCATATGTGCAAGCTTATTTTTCTTCCCTTTTACTGAGATTTGCTTAATGTATTGCAAGTCTCTTCACTAAATGGCGATATGTACTATACAAAAATGAACTAGCAAATGCTCTTTCTGCTGAGAGTCTTGTAAACTATTAAGCTATGATTAATTATCTGTTGTTCTGACTTGTTACATGAATATGAATTTTTTTGAGCATCAAAAGTACTCTTCATCTCCTTTCAGAAGTAACGTGAGCGTTTAAAATTTTGAGAGGAGACCTCATTCTTTACTTATCTTTTGATGTAACTATTTGGTCCCACAAATCTAAAAGAAAAGACTGTTGAAGAGAGTTTTCTTAAATCTCAGAAATGTGATTTTACTATTGCGTTGCTGGATCCTGATGACGGAAAAAGGGTGAGGTATAAGGAAATCACTGTGGTTCTTCAAGGATCTCAGATTTTAGAGGGCTTGTAGGAAGGAAAAAACAACCAATGAGAAATACAAGAACATAGTGTCACAGCCCAACAAAAATTAGTGTCAGGGAGAGTAGAGGTCAGAATGAGGTGAAACTTAGAAAATGCTAATAATTTTAAAGCTCTCTGGATGGGGTTAGGGGTCAGAGGTCCATCAACAGGTTTTTATGTCTATATCAAAGAGAATGGTCTTCTGATAAAAGGAAATTAAAGCCCAAGATAGCTTAAGATGAGAAAAGAAGGTGCTAGCCCCTTGTATTAGTTATCTATTGCTATGTGACAAATAATCCCATAACTTAGCAACTTAAAGCAACAAGCATTTATTTTCTTATAATTACTGTTAGGCTCAGGATTTCAGGCATGGTTTAGCTGAGAGCTTCTGGCTCAGGTCTCTCGTGAGGTTGCAGTTAAGACTTCTGAAGGCTTGAAGCTCAGTGGCTGGTGGGTCTGTTTCCAAGATCACTCACTCACATGGCTGTTGGCAGGAGACCTCAGCACCTCACCATGTGAACCTTTTTATAGGGCTGCTTTTGTGTCCTCACAACATGGCGGCTGGTTTTCCCCAGACCGGGTGATCCAACAGGGAGAATAAGAAGAAAGCTGCAGTGCCTTTTATGACCTAGTCTCAGAAGTCATACACCATCACTTTCTCCACATTCTATTCATTAGAAACGAGTGATGACATCCAGTCCACACTTAAGGAGGGGGATTAAGCCACCTTCTTGAAGGGAGAGATATTAACAAATTTGTGGATATATTTTCAATCTACAACACATCTCTACCCAAGTCCAAATCTATGTGACCCAGACAAATTGTAGGCTAAGAGAACTTGAGGGTAAAATCATAGAACCACTCTCCGTGATCTTGGTGGAACTCTGGAGAACAGAAGAGCTGGAAAGATATGGATAAGACAAAGCAGAAAGGAGAGAAGATAGCTGGACAAACTGCAAGCCAGGTGTAGATTGACATTGATCTTTGGTCCATTTTCGAATATGTTATTAAATGGAAGCTTTGAGAACAATTGGACAAGGAATGAGTGAGATGTCACAACCAGCATAGGTTCCCTAGGCCTTGTCAAATGATCCTCCTTTTCTTTTGGTATCAGCTGTGCTGTTAGATGGGCACGTCATATACTGTGGCCATTGTACTTTTCCGTTTCAGCTAGGTATGTGACAAGTTTCACAGCGCCTTGTAGACCAGACTGTAAGGGTGACTAGGCGAAAAGCAAGAAATTAGGTCCCGTGGGAGCTGAAGGAACTGGTCATATGCAACTGGAGGAAGAGAAGACTCATCAGGGATGTGATTCCTCTCCTTGGGTATCTGATCTGTTCGAGGCTGTAATGCGGAAGAGAGCTAGGCGTGTTCTGTGAGGAACAGACTCAAAGAGTAGAAGTTAAAGGGAAGCTGATTTAGGCTTAAGAAAGGCCCTTCTTGTAGGCAAAGCTGTCTGAAAATGGAGGCAAACTGACACGTCCCTCTCTGTTCACTCGGGAGCTGAGAGTTTGCCCCTGAGTGGGAACACCACAGAGGAGATGATTTCAAAAGCCCCGCTCATCCCCAAATTCTGACGTTGGCTATTTAATGGCTACAACATGGAAACTGACATTTATACTTGGTACTTTCATTTTTTTGTTCTAAACATGACTTTGCATTTTATGTTTAAGCTTCAAATTATTATTTGAAAAACGAAATTCATTATAACAATGAGTGGAAGAATCATGTCTAGAGAAGGAAGAGTTAGTAAGTTATAAATTCTGTTAGTCTCAAAGTTTTTTCAAAATTTATAGACTGCAGCTCTTTCTTCAGCAGATGAACCAATTACATTCTGTATCTATAACTAAATCACGCAACTGAAAAAATGATACAATTTTTACAATGCTTCACTGCATAGAGACACGATCATAATTTATCTGTAATTGAAACAAAGCCCAAAAGTAGCGCTTTTGCTTTACCAGGTAATTAATGCTCATTTTAAAGCCTTTTATTATTTTTTTCTAAAGGAATGAGAGTGCGTGAAAAAAAGACAATAAGCTGAACAATAAGCCCCTAAACTAAGCCAGCATATTCTAGAAACAAATCCTTGCCAACCTCCCAACTAGCATTTAACTTCTGTTTTGCCCTATTTAAAAAAAAAAAAATTATAGCGTGTGTGTAAGGCAGTAGAAGCCTTAACTTCAGATTTCTTTACACTTTAATTTCTTTTTGTTTAAAATAGGTAGTGGTTAAGGATTTAAATACAGGGTGTCATTTTTCTTGAAGAAAGTCATTAATCTATTTTCCTCTAACTTCAGGCCTAGAAAGTGCTTTTTGGTAGCCTTTGTGTTGGAATGGTATTGTTTACAGATAAAACGAATTGACTGTCCTGTGTATTTTAATTATGGTGTAATGCTTATGGTATAATGCAGGTTCAGGGTTGACAAATATCAAGACAGAAGAGATCTCTGAGGTGAAGATGGATGCGGAGTTCCGACATGATTCAGGATATGAAGTTCATCATCAAAAATTGGTACGTAAAATAATTTACCTCTTCCTGCCACTCTGTTTGTCAAATGACCTATTAACTCTGTTCATCCTGTGCCAGAAGTCCAGTTAAGGGAAAGAGAAAAACAAAAATAAAACACTTGCCCATTGGATCATCATGAAAACAGGAAGAAAAGAAAAAGAGGGTCTTTACGTGGTATAGATGTAGTAGTTCTTTATGTCTAGAAGGCAGCTGAGCGCGCGCAGGGATTAGAGTAAAATTAATTTGTATTATAATATCCATTTTAATTAACTTCCACTCTATTTTCTAGGAAAATAGCTTTATAATAGGTTTATTTGAAGGAACAAAATCTCAAATGAACACGTGCAAACACTACTTGGTTTCACAGAAGCCTTTTCATGGTTATTCACTTAAGCTGACATTTGTAACTATCTCCCTGTGCTGCTTCATCTCTCCCTCTCGCCCTCCTTCCTGTCCCTTCCCCAGATCCCACATTTTAAGTTCTCCAGCAAGAGGAGGATCTTTGGGTCTCTACCAGTGGTTGGAAGCAGGAGGTGAGCAAGACCCCATGCTGTTCCGAGCAGTGTAGTTCATTGAAAGGCTTTGGGCAAGGAAGACAGCACCTTCCTTTTCGGATGAAATCACCCTTTTTTTTTCTTTTTCAAATGTTAGAATTGGAGTAAATCAAAAAGCATCCATCTCTTGTGCAGGCAGCTCTAGTAGTTAGATAAAATCCTCTCCCAAAAGCTTCAGATAAATCAAATCCTGCATTATGTTAGGGTTCCTTCCCTCTTATCAGTAAGCACAGGAAGGGGGTTAAATTAATAAAAAGGCAAATTTATTGCACATTCAGTAGTGAACAAAAATGGTAATAAAATTCTTATAGCAATAATAATACTTGAGAAGCAATCGCTCTCAGGCACTTATTTTGTGTGTGTGTGTGTGTGTGTGTGTGTGTTTACTCTTTTTCAAGGGAAGAATGTCTTTCCAATATTCATAAATAAAATTTATGAATCCAAGTATTAAACTCCAAAAGAAATGCTGGTATTGTGTATGCCTCTTTTCACTCTAAATAATTGGAGCAAATCTAACTGACTTGAGGTTCAGATTTTCATTTGAACTCCCAGGATCTTTTTGGTAATAGCACAGTTAGCTGTTTGAAGGATGGTTTTCATTGGCAAGTTAATCCAGTATCAGTTATTATAGAATCAGGAGTGCTCTTGATCTGGCTGATGCTGAAGAGGTTAAAAAAAAACCTGGGGGAACCACTGAAGAGTTGGGAGCTAGTGGGGCGTAGAGCTGAAGATTAATGTGTGGATTTGCATTTTCTGGTGCCTGTGTCATAAAAGCCCATCTCTGCAATTACGCTAACTCCTTTAATGTGACAGTGACTAATGGCGGCAGCCGAAATTAAGAGAATCAGTTCCCTCTACTGAACTAGTTGATAAGATAATGTCCTATAATTAGTGCAATGAATATTGCAAAATTACAGTATTTTCTTAAAGACATAGCAAGATGTCCAGACTTGGCATTTGTTCCTGATTACCTCACGCTTGTATCATTAGCTAATTAATGGTTTGCTTTTTATAAATATGTTGAGTTAGCATATTTGTTTGGAAAGGGGAATAATTATGAACAGTTTCTAATTTTGTTGTATATATGCTATGAGTAAAACTCTTTGAGAAATTTGCTTTATTTGCCATATTTTTGTTGCCTTTTCAGATTGCTAGGATGTTAGTTTTAGCTGTGACACAGGTCATTTTAGTATTTTGAGATTATATTAAAAGAATTATTTAAGGAGCTATTTTCATTAGCTTATATAACAAATATGGTGTGTGTTTAGTAGTAACTAGCCAGATGATCTGGCCTAGGATCATCTCTGTACATAACATAAAGATGATAAAAGTTGCCTTATGCTTTTATAATTCCATTTAAAGGGTAGATAAAGTTGAATAATAATGACTTGCTTTTATAAACAATATGAAGGATTGTACTGCAATAAATTTATCATGTTGAGTAGATTTCTTCTTTACAGTGTTCTCCAGATTTTTTTTATGTTAAATCCAAATAAATAAGAATAAAACAACATTTTGGGTTGGATTCTAGTAATCCAAGTATGTAGTATGTCTGGAGAAAACATGTTAAGAAAGCACGAGTTATGTGTGGCTGTTAAGATTCTTGTTGCCTCTGCTTCTTCCTTTGAAATAACTGTATTTTAAGCATTATGCTTCTCATAGTTAATTCGTGTCCTGCTGAATTTTTGCAGCTAAAAGTAGGTAACAAGATGTCTTTTTTCTTCTGTTTAACTCCTTTGTTTCAGAATGCTTATTCCTATGTATTAATGTCCCTCTAAGAAAATTAGGACATCTGTGGGTTTGAAAAGCACCTGAGGCATAATGGTCGTGGATGTGACCTCCTTTCATAGTCCGTGCCTTTACAGCTTTTGATAGATCCAAGAGCTACCATCCCACCTCTCACCAAATGTTCCACCTGCCAGAGGCTTTCAGGTCCCTCTTGGCTTCTGTTTTGCCTTTCTAGTGACATGTAGGGGGCAGTAGACTTCCTAGGACTGGGGAAGCCACATGTCATACATCATTCTGTAGACTACAAACGTCCTTCTAAGTAGAATGTTTGATTTTTTTTTTCAAGTATACAACCAAATAATGGAGTGACCAACAACTCAAACTTTAGGCATAAGATATATATGAATAGACTGAAACTTTTCACATACCTCATCCAAATGTCACCTGCAATTACAGTCCTTTTTCTTGATTTGTTTTCAAGGTGTTCTTTGCAGAAGATGTGGGTTCAAACAAAGGTGCAATCATTGGACTCATGGTGGGCGGTGTTGTCATAGCAACAGTGATTGTCATCACCTTGGTGATGCTGAAGAAGAAACAGTACACGTCCATCCATCATGGGGTGGTGGAGGTAGGTAAACTTGGCTGCATGTCTGCAAGTGGGAGTTAAAGAAAGACTACAGGGGAAATTTTGCTTGGCGTTAGACTAAGAATCATCCAAGTATCTCTTCTTTGAAAAAAAAATCACATTCCTGCATGATGCTCAAGTTGTAGTTCTTTCCTTGCTTTGGTTTTCATTCATTCTGACTTACAAGTACTATGATCAACCCATTGGGGTTGTATGCTGCTGCCTCAACTTCTTACAATGTGTATTGAAATATCAAAATAATACTAATGATAATGCCTGGCTTAAAGATATCGTGATTACCCTCAAACATTTAAAAGAAAAGAGAAAAGCAACAGCAGAAGTTAAAAAATGAGAAAGGAAGTGGAAGGATACATTTTCAAAAAGAAAAAAACATAAACACATTTGTTCCTGGATTTTTTGTTTTTGTCTTAAATAGTCTGACTTCTAACTAAAACCAGGTAATAGTAAGTAATACTGATTTTGAGTAAAGAGTCTTCTCTTTCAAGCTCTGTAGAAGATCACATTATACCAAACACCCGGGCAAACAGACAAGGTTATTTGAGATGGTCATCCTGTTGCCTGCACATCCACCTGAGATATCTTTGTTTCAAGCTGTTACTGCAGTCGCACTGAAGCCGAAGAGAAGACCCACAAAGTGACAATCACAATTTTTGCACAATTATGCTTCCCTGAGACTTTCTCCCCACAGGCCAGTATGTGACTAACATGAATGCGTACAGCACGGAAGTCGTCGGTTAGACCAACAAAATAGAATAGTTGCAAGGTTCAAATATGACTTCTTAAACCCTTTATGATGCATTTTAAATAGTATGATACAAAATAATGAAAAATAAAGTAAAATTTACCGAAAATTCTTTTTAATGCATTTAAAATGCCGGTTTTGGTGGGGGAAACCTTATAGGATATGTAAATTTTTAGGAAACTGTTACAGAAAGTGAATTAACGTATCTTGAACTGAAAGAGATCTCATGATCAATCAAGTGGATCTTCTCATTTTTCTAGATGAGAAAACAGATCCAGACAGAAGTGTTTGCCCAATGTCAAACTAAGTGAGGCGAAGGTCAAAGTACAGATTTCCCCACATCCTATGCGTTGCTTTTTCCATCAGAGAAAAGTCCAGATATTTCCAGTGAGCTAAACTTCTCACCAACCCCAAGGAAATGTGCTCCAAATCAGTCTTGATTATGGAAGAGCAAGGACAGTTTAAATAAATTCCATGTGTGGTGAAGCCAGAAACCTCATTTTGTTCAGCACTTAAAATCTCCAGGAGCTGCTGATGGAAATGGGCATCATTTGAGTCCTGTTTCTCCTGTCCGTACTAGTGTGGATGTGCTAAAGGGCAGTGAAAGGAGTGGACCCAGGAAACAGGTAGCATGGTGGAAAAGAACTGAGTGAGTGACAAACTGGTGGGTGAGCACATGACATAAGCAATGACAACATCATCCAGTTTGGGTTGTTGCTCTTTTCATAATGGTATTTCTGAGCTTGTGTCCTTTGAGACAGTGTAAGTTGTATTATTATTAGCATCAGTTTATCTCATTTCTGTTCAAAATTTTTTTTTTTTTCGTTTTAATTCCATGTTGGGGCAAATGTGTTTTCATACTTGAATAATTCAAAAGCCCGTTTTAATTTCTTTAATATAATTGTATGTTTTAATTGCCTTGGACTGATAGCTTCCTTTTTATCAGTTAAAGTATCTGGGTGGGGCCAAAGAGCCTATATTGTGCTTGCTCAGACAGCCATAACAGGGCCACAGACTGAGTGGTTTAAACAACAGAAATTTGTTTCCTCACAATTCTGGAGCACGGACGTCTGAGATCAAGGTGTCGGTCGGCAGGTTTGGTTTCTTCCGAGGCCTCTCTCCTTGGCTCGTGGATGGCCTCCCTGTGTCTTCACATTGCTTTCCCTCTGTGCATGTCTGTGTCCTTATCTCCTCTGGGAAGGACACCAGTATTATTAGATTAGGGTCTACCCCAATGACCTCATTTAACCTTAATTACCTCTTTAAAGACCCTGTCTCCAAATACAGTCCTATTGTAATCTACTAGGGGTTAGGACTGTGTCAATTTTTGGAGGACACAGTTCAGCCCTAACAGAGCCCAGTGATGGTGGCAGAAAACGGGGCTCTCTTACAGGGACTCTGCCATGGTTGTGCGTGAGACTTACAGGAACTTAGTTAAAAGGGCACAGCCCGAGGTCCCACCCCAGATTATGGAAACAGAATTTTTAAACAGGAGGCTGGGAATCTGAGTGTTGAAAATTTTCCCCACTGAAAAGTGCATTCAGGTTTGAGAATCACTGATGTATGATATTATTACTTCTTCATTTTAGTTGTCTGTCTAAGCAAACCTTAGGGAGTAGAAAATATCTCTTGTCTTCAAGAAAACTAGTTGCCTTTTAAGCCCTCTTACAGCTGCTTGGGTTCAATGTTTCTTTTGGTTAGTTACCAAGAAAAGTCTCCTTGGATTTGGAATGTCAGAAAAGTTGACAGTTTAACACAGATCCTGAGAAAAAGAAATTAATTTTTAAGCCAGGAGACATTCTTAAAGGAGCAAAATTCGAAGAAGGGCAGTTAGTTATTCAGCTCTTGCTATTCACTTTGCTCGCTACTTGAAAACATCTAGAAACCTCCCCAGAGTGACTGCCCCACCTAGTTTTGTGTTTCTTTTCTTTATTTCCTCTAACTTGCTTCTTCCTCAAGGTAAGGATATTGTGGAAAGCCTGTAAACCATCCCTTTTTCCCTCTCGAGGCCTCCCTTTCTCTCCATTCCATAAGCAACCCTTTGTCGAGTTCTGTGTTCAGCTGTGGACAGCAGCGTGGGAACAGAACTTCATCCAAGGCGCTGTTTACCATCCCTGCCCTCAGGAAGGTTATAGTCCAGCTGAGATGGTAGAATTTGCACACAATTTGCTGTAACCCAGGCTAGGCACCTAAGCTATCTCACCTGGCCTGGGTGAGAGAGAGCGCTGTGGGGTTTCAGAGCACGCAGAGTCTACACTGTATGAAGTGATGCGCCTGTGAATGTTCTCCGCCTGTCCTAGCAGGCTCTCTCACACTCGAGTACGTGGAAATAGGTGTGTTTCCAGCTCTGGTTAACCTGCTTCATTAATGAGTAACCCTACTTCACTAAAAACAAAAACGAGTAAAAGAGTATTTCCAGTTGGACTGGCCTAAGTCTGTCAGGACAGAATACAGTCATACTTCACGCCACCAATACATGAAGAAGAAATCACAAGGAAAGCATTAATCTCCAGGAAATCTCTCATTCTTAGAGTGAAAGATCCTTGCAGAAGACCGCAGAGATTTGGAAATGAAAACAAGTATAGTATTTTTATTAATAGAGTTGTTACCAGGTGGAATGAGCAGTTAGTAGGTTTTGTTTCTTAAAAATAAGCAATAAATATTGATTTAATGATTTGCTTAGCCCTGGGGCTGGAGATTCATTCTGTAAGCCATTAGCCACACTGTCATTAGGAGATGACTAAGCTTTACAGTCATGCGCCACTTGACAATGTTTTAGTCAACAACCGACCACATATACAGTGGTGCCCGTAAGATTAGTTCCATATAATGTAGGTGTGTAGTAGGCTATACCATCTAGGTTTGTGTAAGTACTGTGGGGGAGGAAGAAATTTTCCTCTTCCCTTCTAGGTTCTTCTGGCTCGTCTAAGAATTAAATTGACATGAGACAGATCCACAGGAGAAAAACAAACAAAAATTTAATAACGTGCATACATGGGAGAAACCCAGGAAAATCAAGTAACTTGTCAAAATGGCCAAAGCCCTCACCTTACGTACCATCCTCAGCTAAAGGCAAAAGATGCTGGGGGTGGGGAGAGTCAAGGACTTCAAAGGGAAGGGAGGCAATTCACAGGTAAGTGAAAAGGAGCAAATATTGGGAAAACAAGTATTTGTTTGGCCACATAGACACAGAAGAACATAGAGAGCAGCCCAACAAACAGGCTTTTCTAGGTTCTTCCTTGTCTACCATTAGCTCATGTTATGCTAAGGTGGTAGCTCCCTTCCTGAGACAGATTTCTTAATCTGAATTCTTTTAGGCAGTTAGGCGGGCAGAAACAAAAACTTTCTTGAGTCTTTTGTTTCTTAAAAATAATCAGCCTAAAATAATCCTCATGTTAGAGAGACACATTTTGGGGTGGCACATTTTGTTCCCCTTCAGTACACTCTATGATATTTGCACAACGACAAAGTCACCTAATTACGCATTTCTCAGAACATATCCCCGTCATTAAGCGACGTATGTCGTTAAGTGACACGTGGCTGTATTTATGCCTCAAGCAGTGACATGATATCCCTTTATACTGCTTCCCAAATGTGCCCACCATCTCTGGTGGCCGAGGATCCTAGCATCACTGAATGGTCCACCACGGCTCCTCCTTTACCGTGGCCCTGCACATCCCCACTGATCCCAGGCTCTGTTTAGTAGCAGATGGGCCTTTTCTACGCTCATAGCCATTGACATCAGATATTTGAAAATAAACATTCTAGCTCTTTCCACTATTCTCTTTATTGTAGGGCATAAATAAATTTTCCTGTCACAGATCTGATAACTAGAACATCAGAAGTCTCCCCACCCCAAGTCATTTCATTAATGATCTAAATAAGAAGAGAGTTGCTTATTTAGTTTTTTGTGGAGTTGTGGCATATGGCTTTTCCTGACGACTGTGCCATCATACTGGTGACGTTCGAAGAATATATCCTTAGAGGTACTTTCTTCCTGGCAAGCAGTTGACCCACCAGGACAGAGGCATCGAGCAACCACTAACGCGGGTGTTCGAGAGCAGTCAGAGGGAATGGTCGGGTTACATAGGAAGCAAAGGGAAGAAGAAGGGAGGATGGACTCAAAATCAGCTTGTGGCTCCAGGCAAACAGCAGGAAGGGAAATTGGAAGGTCAAAGGAAAGCAGCAAAGATGGTTACGAAAGGATAGCAAAGGAGTTTCAGAGCCTGCCTGAAGAATTACTTGTTGTAGGCAATAAACATAACTGAACTACTTATGAAAACAGGGCATTATAGGGACCGGTCTGGTGGAGTAGGAGGAGAACATTAGCCAGAGTACTCAAAAGTTCCACTCAAAGCTGCGTTAGGACGAGGCAGACCAGGCTCCTGAGGCTCCGCTCTTCACACTGCGCATCAGTGTCGGTAGCCAGTTGAAGCTAAGCTGCAGTGCGGTACGGTACAGGGAGCCCCGGGGTCCTTCATGGAGACACAGCGCACCGAGAGCCACGTGAAGACTCCACATGAGTTATAGCTCCCATCTAATCGAAAAAGTCTGGAGAAGGAATATTCCGAGGCTGTGTGCGTGTCTGTTTTCACCTCAGCAAGTGAGAGATGTCCCTGCCTGATGGGCACATGGGCATTGTCTCTGACTTCATCGTTCTATCGTTCCTTCCAGAACAAGCACCACTGGCTTCGACTTCCCCCGACTCTGTTTTACTGGAAATAACAGTGAGGTGTTTGTGCAGAGACCCTGTCTGCACAGGGTCACAGTGAGGTGGCCTTCACATGGTGGCCCACACCAGTGCTGCCACTTAGCCGTGAGTGACAGGTCACTGAGCCCCGCTGGAAGGGAAGGCTCCCTCCCACCCAGTGCTCTTCCTTTAGTGGTAGGTTTCTCCATGGATGTGACTATTCATTGTTTCGTTTTTAGCTTTCGATGGGTTGGGGATAAAAAGATACAATCCAGACTACTTGGGTGCCATTTTGTTAAGATAATCCGCTCTCCTGTAGCTCCTGACCTTCTGCGGTCTCCAGGCCGCCCCACTGCAGGAATGGGGAAGTGTGAGCTGCCCTCCCAGCGGCAAAGGTACTGAGGATTAGCAAGTAGAAAAGAGGCCAAGAAAAGACAGGAAGGTTAGACGCTTGGCGTGAATACCAGCCTCTGAGCTTCGCATTTCTGACAGGCCTGTCTTAAGCTTTTGGCTTTGGCCTTTCAAGAGGAGAGAAACTGTTAAATTGCCAGGTGTTCCCCTGTCCTTGATGAATGCAGATAATTGTTGACAGCCAGTGTGAGGGCTGATGTGTGCCCTGGAGGAGATACAAGTATAATATTCCAACCATCAAGCAGCTGTGTGGTTTTCTCTACATCCAGAAACATAGCTTTGTGCTTGATGTTAGCAAGACATTTTTTTTAACCTTGACATCTTTGAAATTTCAGTCAAGAGGTGGTACAGGGGCCGGCCCCACGGCCAAGTGGTTAAAGTTCCCCATGCTCCACTTCAGCTGCCCAGGTTTGCAGGTTCAGATCCTGGGTGCAGACCTGCTCCACTCATCAGCCATGCTGTGGCAGCATCCCACATACAAAGTAGAGACAGAGTGGCACAGGCATTAGCTCAGGGCTAATCTTCCTCAAGCAAAAAGAAAAAAGAAGAGGATTGGCAATGGATGTTAGCTCAGAGCAAATCTTCCTCACCAAAAAAAAAAAGTGGCGCAGGGCAAAAAGATGCCCCAGTTTGAATGGCAGACTGCCTCAGACAGGCTGTTTCCCAGCAAGCGGATTTGGAGAGTGGATGAACTCTCTCAATATTGATGCTAATCTTTAATGATGGTGTTTTAACTTACAAAGTCTGTGGCTAATTACACAACTGCCAATTTAAGCAAGATGACCTCATTTGTTGACAATAGAGTAGAGCAAACGAAGAGGAGGGGAGGGGAAAGACATCTGTGGTTCTTTCCATAGGGACAGTGACGCTGAGCGTCCGTTTGAGCGATGTCCTCTGAGTACTGACTCTTGGTGAGAGCTTGTTGGTGGCTTTGTTCTAAGGAGAGATGCACAGGCTTGTGAGCGGATGAATCTGAGGACTCGCTTCAAGAACGCAGGCGGCTCTGACAAGACGGTGGAGTGGGAATGATGTATGGATGGGAACTTAAGAAGCAGGGCACATAACGAACATATGAGGGAGCTGTGCATCTTCCTAATCCAGCTGCCTTGGGATTGACCACGGTGGTTATTCCATTTCATACGCAGACTGAAGGCAGTCCATCAGTCCACGAGATGGGGTCTTGCAGAATGACCGTGGGGGAGCCAGATTGTATCGACAAATTTTTCTCCCAGTTTTATTGAGATATAATTGACACATAACATGGTGTTAAAGTGTACAACATGATGATTCAATATATGTATATATTGTGAAATTATCACCACAATAAGTTTAGTTAACATCCATCGATTCACATAGTTACAATTTTTTGTTCTTGTGATGAGAACTTTGAGACCTATTTTCTTAGCAACTTTCAAATATACAATACAGTATTGTTAACTATGGTCACCATGCTGTACATTACATCCCCAGGACTTATTTATTTTATAACTGGAAGTTTGTAACCTTTGACCCCCCTTCTCCCATTTCACCCATCCCCAACCCCCCACCTCTAGCAACCACCAATCTGTCTCTGTATCTATGAGTTTGGGGGTTTTTTAGATTCCACATATAATTAATATCATAAAGTATTTGCCTTTTGCTGTCTAATTTTTTTCACTTAACACTGTTCTCAAGTTCCATGAGTGTTGTCACAAATGACAGAATTTTAGTTTACTGAGAACCCTCCATATTGTTTTCCATCGTGACTGCACCAATCTTTTAGTCTGAATTACTCATTAGCCAGTGTGGTGTAGTCATGGCGTATCAAGCTCTCTCCCTAGACCTGGTGTCTTAGCACCAACACACCTGCTCGCTGGGGTTTTTCCTTCATTGGTTTCAGGGCACCACTGCAGTGAGATAGCTGTGTGGGGTCAGAACCATACCAGACTGGCTGTGTCACGGGGACAAGCTGCATAAGAAGCTGAATGTCGCTTTTCAACACTCAGCAGTGGGGAACGGGCCTGCAGTATTTTCCTGGAAATGATGTGGGGAGCCCAGCTTTATCATGTGTAGAATAGAAAATAACGCTTTGAAGGAAAACCCATCTTCTGCACAGTACGGCCTAACTTTTCTATGGAAAACATGCCACTTCGTTCTGATTCAATTTGTGTCGATTCTCTTCACCTTCCAGTGTTTTTACAGAAATTTTTTTTGACAAACAAAATGAAGCTTTGATTCATTCAGCAAAGAGTTAAATACTTCCTCTCTTCTGTGCACTGTGAGAGATAACAGCAGATGTGCTAGAAACCTGAACAGCCACTCCCCACATGATAGGGATTAACTTACCTTGCAGAGAGGAAATGCTCCACACAGCTCTGTCCTGACAGTGACACTGCTGGGGGGGCCGGGGGGCAGGGGGTGAGGGGGGTGGGGGGGGGCGGGATACATTTACAACTGCTGGCCTGATCTTAGAGATGAAGCACCGTATCAGCAGCGAGGAGCTGTTCTCAGCCCTTTACCAGGACATATTTCTATAGTATCTCTGTTCAGTTTTAAAGAAAAGAAGATCGTCTAGAATCTAGAATGGCATGTCCTTGCTGTGTTTTTCCTTTTCCCCTAAATAATAGCCCGTTTAATATACATATATCATTGTTTTAGTTAAAAGATTTTCAGACCTCGCTTAAATATATTAAATTTAGTGTAAACAGGAACAAATTCAAATAAGCCTGCAAAGATAACTCAATAATTCAGATCTGAGGGTCACCCAGTATACTTTGCTGAATCTCTCTTCATGATACTCCTGGATTTTTTCCCCAACTTACCATCACAGTTTAAAATAAAACAGTCCTCCGTCATGGCTTTGTGTCCTTTATTGAACCAACGGGGAAGAAAAAAATATTTATCACACTAGGTATATCCAGTTACTGTTAAATTCGGGAAGCAACCAGTGAGCGCTTTGCAAGCCCAGTCAGCACGTCAAGGTTTTAAGCGCCACCTGGTGGCTAGATGGAACATCTGCGTGCCTGGTGGACACAGGCGGACTGCTCTGAGATGTCAAAGTGGGGAAGAAAGGAGAAAAGATAGTGGGTGTTCTGCAATCTTGATGAAAGAAGAGTACTGTGCACCTTATCTTTTTGTTGCTTCTCCATGTGCGCTCTTAAAAGGTTGATTTTTTAAACTCAGTTTTCCTCATCCTTGCTTTTCAGGTTGACGCCGCTGTGACCCCAGAAGAGCGCCACCTCTCCAAGATGCAACAGAACGGCTATGAAAATCCAACTTACAAGTTCTTTGAGCAGATGCAGAACTAGACTACCGCCGCAGCAGCCTCTGAAGTTGGACAGCAAAACCATTGCTTCACTACCCATCGGTGTTCATTTATAGAATAACTTGGAAAGAAACCCTTCTCTTTTATTATTTACTCATTATCGCCTTTGACAGCTGTGCTGTAACACAAGTAGATGCCTGAACTTGAATTAATATACAAATCAATAATGTATTCTCTCTCTTTACATTTTGGTCTACACTACGTTATTAATGGGTTTTGTGTCCTGTAAAGAATTTAGCTGTATCAAACTAGTGCATGAATAGATTCTCTCCTGATTATTTATCACGTAGCCCCTTAGCCAGTTGTATATTATTCTTGTGGTTTGTGACCCAATTAAATCCTACTTGAAATATGCTTTAAGAATCGATGGGGATGCTTCGTGTGAATGTGGGAGTTTTAACTGCTTCTCTTGCCTAAATATTCTTTTCCTGATCACTATGCATTTTAAAGTTAAACGTTTTTTAAGTATTCCAAATGATTTAGAGGATTTTTTTCCCATGATTGCATTTTACTGTACAGATTGCTGCTTCTGCTCTCTTTGTGATATAGGAAGTATGAGGATACACGTTTATTTCTTCGTGCCTGTTTTATGTGCACACGTTAGGCATTGAGAATTGAAAATTTTTTTGTCCATGTATCTTCGGATCTTTGATAAAGAAAAGAATCCCTGTTCATTGTAAGCACTTTTATTGGTGGGGGGGGGGGGTGCTCTGCTGGTCTCAAATTACCAAGAATTCTCCAAAAAAATTTTTTTTGCAGGGTGATTGTACAGAATCATTGCTTATGACCATGATAGCTTTCTACACTGTATTACATAAATAAATTAAATAAAATGACCCTGGGCAAGAGTTTTCTTTGAAAGATGACCATGGACATTGAATATTCAAAGTACTTTGGGGCAGGGAAAAAGATCCAGTTTCCTTTAAGCAGTCTAAAACCTTTTGTTTATGATACCCAAAGAAGGTGAAGGGCGAAGAGGCAAAACCAGGGGATGGAGAGGCATGCCTGGACAAACCCTTCTTTAAGATTTGGCTTCAGTTTGTATAAAATGGTGTTTTCATGTAAATAAATACATTCCTGGAGGAGCGCCATTGTACTGGTGTGAATGATTGCATGGTAACCACCTTTTGCTTATTTAGTCATCTAAACGCTAGTGAGATGCCTTCTCATGTTGGGCATCTACAACTGTTGTGTCTTAGCTGCACGTCTATGTAGGAAGTTAGGGCCCACATGCCTCTCACTGCTAGTAAAATACTTCACAACCTCCTTCACGATTTTACTCAGTCCAAAGTATTTTGCTGCCATATCTTGGTCCTCAAGTTTGTCCCTGTCATAGTCCGTCCAGGCTGCTATGACAAAATACCACAGATTAAAAACAACAGAAATTTATTTTTCACAGTTCTGGAGACTGGTCAGATGAGGGCTCTTTCAGGTCAAAGATTTCCTGTATCCTGACATGGTGGAAGGGGCCAGGGAGCTCTCTCGGGAGCCTCTTTTATAAGGGCACTAATCCCATTCATGAGGACTCTACCCTCATGACCTGATGACCTCTTAAAGGCCCTACCTCCCAACATCATCTCATTGGGCATTAGGATTTCAACATATGAAGCTGGGGAGGACACAAACATTCAGAGAGAACATAATAGTCCCAAATAAGCTAAGAAGAGAAAAATTCTAGGGAAATAGAAATTAAGATCAGCTGATAGTTATTTATAAAGCAGGACTTCTCAACCTTGGCACTATTGACAGTCTATGGGGAATAATTACTTGTGTCAAGGGGCTGTCCTGAGCCCTGTAGGATGTTTCAGAGCATTCCGGGTCTCTACCCACTAGATAGCAGTAGCACTCCCAAGTTATAGTGAAAAATGTATGCAAACATTGCCAAATGTCCCTTAGGAGGGGGGCAAGTCACCTCTATTGGAAAACCAATGCTCTATCTATTTTAAGACAATGTCATATGTACATGATTTTTAATTCAAGAAGCCTATCCAACTGCCCTTCCGCAAGTCTGAGAACGCATTCACCTGGTGTTTTTGCTGTGTTGTGCTTGGTATCAGTTGAACGTGAGAATCAGCCAGCCCCTTTTAGCTTCAGACTACAACTTTTTAAACTAAAACACTAAACAGAAAATTCATCAAAATCGTTTCATTGTGTTGCTGTGCAGTATGAACAGACTCAAAAGTCATCAGAATGTGTCCTATTTTCAGGAAAACAAAATAGTTATCTCCCTTGACCTGTGAAGGGCAATTAAATATGACTGCTATATGAAGATGTGTAACACATGACAGTTTATAGGCTACAGTTCCATTTTGCCTGACCCAAGGAGAGTCTGCTAACAGGGAAAACTAGCTCTGATACGACAGCACGTTTCCAATGACGCTAATGAAATGAAACCGAACTTTCTCAAACGTTTGGGATGTTACTCCCAGGCCAGCCTTCAGTCCCAGCAACTGCAACCTTTAACTTTGATCATGTCAGAGCTAACGAAAAAAATTTAAAGCATATGTGTAGAATTATGAAAAAAGATAATGTCTTATAAACTTGGTTCTCAAATTGAAGTATATTGGAAGGATTCTCCAGATGGTCTGGGAATTAATCAATAGATAATTTACACAAAACTGAAGTGTTACCAAATAGAATGATAGTAGCAGTTACCCAGGCCAAAAATCAATGAGATTTTGAGGGAGTTCAACACAGCCAACCTGATAGGTGAGAAACAGCATCTCAATACAGTTTTGGCTTGTATGTATCTTATTATGAGTAGAGTTGGATATTCTTTCGTATGTTCAAGGGCCATTTTATATCTCTCTGAATTTTCTGTTTATGTCTTTTGTTTTGGGCTTGAAGTCTACTCTGGTATCAGGATTGCAACCCCTGCTGTCTTACTGTTTCCATTTGCCCGATAAATCTTTGTCCACTGCTTTATTTTTAGCTTTTTCAGTTGCTGCATTTTATATGTGTGTCTTGTATACAACACAGAGTTGGGTTTCTGCTATATGAGCCAATTTGAAAATCTTTTAATAGGCAAGTGAGACCCATTCGGTTTTATGATGATTGCTGTTGGCACTCCATTCTCTTATATCTCCTGTTGTAATTACCGAGTGTATTATATTTACTGTGTCTCTCTATGGGGGGACGGCTCTTGGTGTTGGTGTGTGGTTTATAGGAAGCTCTTATTTTTATCCTACTAGTTACTTTTGTACTAATGCATTTTGTGGTGCTCTTGATCTTTTTTCTTAACCTTTCACTATCTGTCTTTTCTACATGATGTTCTTTGACTCCTACCTGCCACTATACGACAGTCGATGGTCTTACTCTACTTTCTCCATTTTCTTTCCCTTCCCATTTTTTTCAGTTGGATTTGTTCTACTTTATCCATACATCAGTGTTTACATATTTTTCTTCAACTCATGCACCCGCCCTATTGTAGCCTTTGCTCTACCGTCGAATGAGTGAAATGTTCTCCATCAGTCCTTTGTTCTCAGACATCTTTTGACTGGTTGGAGCTCACACTCCAGTAAATTCCTCAGCAGGAACATATGCGCACAGTACTGGGCAGATTCAGACTGATTTTCTATGACCTTGAAGCTTGAAGGGCAGCTTGTTTTTCCTTAAGTTTCTTGAAAATGCTACTCTACTGTTTCCTTGCTTTATATGTTATTTTTGAGAAATCTGAGGCCAATCTACTTCTCTTTCTTTTGTAATATTTTGTCATGTTTTTGCCCAGAGGTGCTGAGATTTTTTTTTTCCTTAAAGTCTAATGACTGTACAAGGCTATGTCTCAGAGTTGATTATTTACGGTCAGTTTTTCTAGGTACCCTCCTGGGCCCTTTCATAGATTCAGTTCTTTTCTTTCTGGAACTTTCTGTTGGATTAGGGTTTTAAATATTCTGTTCCATTATTTTTATTTTCTTCAGCAACACCAATCATATGAGCATTCGACCTCATTTGCCTCGTTTCTGTTTCAACCTCCTTCTCTCTGATCCTTTTTACTTTCTTTATTTCATTTTATTCTTGGTTGTTTTCCTTCCTTTGTTCAGTGCCCTTTCTGAAGTTTTTATTTGAACCCATTCTCCTTTCAGCGCCCTGTAATCTGTTCTTCATTACTCATACGATTTTGTGATTTTCTTCCATTTCTTGCCTGAGTTCCATCAGCTCTCATTTGATTTCTTCCTGGTTTTTTCTTGATTTCTCTACTTAGTTTTTGTATTTCTGGTTCAGGGTATTTTCCCTATTCCCAGATGCATGGTGGAGAATATTTAATTAACGTGGAGTGTTCTCCATCAGTCCCGTTCTCCCAAGAAGCTGTGCTTCTCTCAGTCTGCCCCTCTGTCCTGCCCACGTTCAGGCTTCCTCTGTGTTGCCAGGCTGTGAACTACCAAGTCCCCCTCTCTGTTCATTATTTGCATATATTGTTTCGCTTTCTCTTTTGGAGGTGGTTTAGTCTGCTTTTCTCAAAGTCCCCTGCTCCCCTCCACTCTTTTTCCCAGGATGTTCAGATTCCTCTCCCCGTATTTCTGCACCCATCCATTGTTTTGCAGTGGCTGCAGCAGGCCAGCAGTGGGCACTCTGTGGGAATTTGTTTTGTGTTGTTTGTTTCCTCTACTTACACATAATTTGAAAGTTGTAGTTTCTCTTCCTCAGGTAGTGCTGAAGAGGGAGATTTAACCACCATCATGAGGATAACTCCACGCTTGTATGTTTTAAAATGCATTCCAATATGCAGTGAGAGTGGAGAACCACTTGTTGTATCACAATGAGCTTTGAATTTGTTTTACACATATTATCTCAGAACTCCTTTAGCTTCCTGGCCATGACTGGTTTTCCTCCTACCTGACTCCTCCATGCAGTGCTGTTCTTCAGATCTGTGTTTCTCCAAGGCCTCTCTCACCTACATCAGAATTACCTGTCAGCCTTGCCAAAAGACGCAATTTCCTGGATTCCATCTTGGATTTACTTAGATAATCTCTGGGGACCTAGGACTCTTCATTTTGTTTTTTGGGGTTTTTTTGAGGAAGATTAGCCCTGAGCTAACTGCTGCCAATCCTACTTTTTTTTTTTTTTTTTTTTTTTTTTGCTGAGGAAGGCTGGCCCTGAGCTAATATCCATGCCCACCTTCCTCTACTTTATATGTGGGACGCCTACCACAGCATGGCTTGCGAAGCGGTGCCATGTCCACACCTGAGGTCTGAACCAGCGAACCCCAGGCTGCCGAAGTAGAACATCCGCACTTAACCACTGTGCCACCGGGCTGCCCTGGACTCTTCATTTTGAATAAGCACTCTCTCCCATCATTACATGAGCCACAAAAGGTCATGAGAATCACCGCTTTGGATGTTGAGGGACCCCAAGGCTCTGATTTCTTTCCTATATACTGTTTCTGAGTAATCTCAACCACAAGGAAAATATTAGTTATGACTCATGTGCAAAGCAGGAGCTCAAACCTAGACCTGTTCCCTGAGTTCCGGACCAAGATTCCTATTCTTGTTTCAATAACTTGCATTTTGATTATAAATGCAATGCATGCTTATTGTAGAAAATACAGAATGAGGAAGAAAAGGGATTCACTCAGAATCCTGCCATCCAGAGAGACGTATTATTAAGACTATTGCATATAGACTTCAATATTTTTAAATCACATGCATTTACTTCATTCGGCATTTTTTTCTTATCTTGTTGCCCATATCCTGCTTTTTCACTTGCTTTAATATGTGCATATTCTCATGTCACTTAAAAATTCCTTAATATACCCATTTTTAATGACCACATAAGGATATTTAATGCAAATTTTTACTATTATCAACAATGTGTGAACCAATATCTTTGACCACAAATTTTTGTTTAGCTTGTGTTTTTTTAATAAAAGGCAGTTTAGCATCTGCTTCAAAAGCACAGACTTTTGAGCCAAGCTGTGCTTTGGTTGGGCCTCAGTTTCCTCATTTGTAAAGTAAGATAATGATAGTACCTCATACAGTGGTTGTGAGGATTAAATATGTTAATATCTGTAAAGTGTTTACGACGTTGTCTGATATGTAGTAAATGTATGTAAGTGTTAACTACTTAGGAGATGTCCAAGAAATCAATG